TGAGGTGCCCTGGGTTCCTCCGGACTCCCCGGGGCGGGGGGGGGAGGGGCGTCCATGGCAACCGGCACCGCGCGAGGGTTTCCGCCGTTTGCCCTTAGCCAATAGCAGTGGGCATGACCGAGGCAGCCTGAGGCATCTGGGACCCCCCACCCCGCGCCCGTTGGACAGGCTGAGTCTTGGTGCAGCCGCAGTGGACGGGGCTGACGCTATGCCCGGGCTGTCTGGAGCCGAGCGGCTTCTGTACGGAAGGCGGGCGAGGAGCTGTCTGCGGTGTGGGAGCAGGCGACTAATCGCTCGGTAGACATGAGGCCAAAGAGGAAATGCTGGTCGCGGCGGTGGCCTGGCACTTTGCAAATGGAGCCCACCTGCTCCTCCTTCTGGCCGCACTTAGGTTAGTGCAGTCGGTGTTCCGAGGCTCGAGCTGGGTGACGCGTCTGCAGGCGGATCCTCTAGCTGCCTTGGCCGCTGCACGTTGGCTGCTGGTCCTGTGCACCGAAGACGCTTTTGTTAGCGTTGCTGTTTGAGTGCCAGGGGGAGCGGTTGAAGGCAAGAGCTAAACATGCGTTTTCCCAGCTGGGTAACTGGGGCCACCTCTGCAGAGGTCCTTCCACTTTCTATTCCCCTTATCCTACCCCGAAGAAAATTATTTTCCTTTGCGTTGAACAGCTGTGATTTAGGATCGTTGGGAAAGACAAAGTAATACGTGAAGGGTACACAAAATGTGAAAACAAAATGCAAAGTGTTGGAGGGGAGTTACCTGTCAGTGATCATCACCTAGAGATAGCCAATTATACAATTTTGTGCATGTTCTTCAACACATAGGCAGTTTTTGTTTTACCAAACGAGTGTCCATCCTGCTAGACCCTGTTTTCTGGTGCTTTTCTCCACTCACCGATACGTTACAATAAATATTCTGCATCATGGCTTTTATTTTTTTATTGGCAACTGGACTCCATCATAAAATTTATTACCAGTTTCCTAATTGTGGGATGCCTTGATTAGCTAAGCTATGATGACCACCATTGTGTGGCTACTGTTGCACAAATCTGTATCTTCAGGCTTGTTCCCTAAAAGGGTGAGCGTCTAATCAAAAGGAGTCCCTCCCTATAGCAGGACAAGGTCCCCCACTTTCCAGTGGGGCCTGGCCTTTTTGGGGATTGATGAGTAACTCTTTTGTGCTGTGTGAGGGTATTTGATCTCCTCTGGGTTCTGATCTGCATTTTAGTGTTGGCCTCTTTCACCCTCTGTTTCTTCATCTGTGAAGTGGGGATGACAAATAATTATTTCAGGTTGGTTATGGAAATTGGGAGACTATATGTCAAAACACGTTGTAAACAAACCTTCAAGCAGCATTGTTACTGTTACTATTTGTAACAAATTTGAGGTTAGAGCCTGTTTTCTCATCCTATGGACTCCGGTTCCCCAAGTAAAAAGCTGAGGTGAGTGGATTGCCTGAGCCCGCGGGTTTGAGACCCGCCTGGACAGCGAGACCTCATCTCTACAATAAATCAAAAAATCAGCCGAGCGTGGTAGCGCATGCCTGTAATTCGGCTACTTGGAAGGCTGAGGCGGAAGGATCGCCGGAGCCCAGCAGGTCGAGGCTGCAGTAGCCGAGAGCGGCCACTGCACTCCAGTCCAGGCGACAGAGTTAGACTCCAACTCAAAAAAAAAAAAAATCAGATGTTCACCCTGGCTTGTCTGTTCTCAGGAAGAACGCTGTGGAACTGGAACTCGCCAAGTGTAGGATGGACATGATGTCTCTGAACAGCCAGCTGCTAGATGCCATTCAGCAAAAACTGAACCTCTCGCAGCAGCTGGAGGCTTGGCAGGTAAGCGAGAACCCTGAGACCAACGACGAGTGATTATTCCAGGGGAAGTCTCTGAAACCAGGCAGAGTATGAGAAGTGTTTTCTACCAGAGGGTCCCACATGACTGAGTGAACAGTAACCCCAGTCTTTACCTGGCAAAATCCAGAGCTCATGCTCCCAGTCCCTAGGGAAGGATGCCTAATGATGCTCTTGAGAGCAGCAGTCCCCAGGCTGCTGCTTGGAGATATAAATGACCTCCAGGCTTGTCATGGGACCCTCTGTCAGCTGGTCATCTGGGCCTTGCTTAAATGACAAAGAAACAGCTGGTTAACATGGAGAGCCCGGGAAGCCCTACATGAAGATTCACAGCTGGATGCAGTGCAGCCTCCTTTTTCCAAAGGGCACTGTGCTGGTGTAAGCCCCGGGGAAAATGAGTCAATGTATCTGTCTCTAAGACCACTGTTTTCAGGGCCCATGGTGACTCCCTACTGGGTGGGGCTGTGACTGGCTTCTTGCTGGTGAGGGTGAATTAATACAATTTCAGGATGTGGGTTCAACCACTAATGTTTCTCCCCAAGAAATCCTGACCAGACAAATAAAAAGCCCCTGTGGCCTGCAAGGGGAGCCCCTTACAATGAACAGGTGGTTGGTGACTGTTCCTCCCAGGGCCCTGTCGGGCTGGCAGCCGGAGAACTGGCCCAAACTGAGTGTGGTCCCTGGCTCCTCAGCTCTTGCCCAGCTGCCAGCCGGCCCCGCCCCGGCTTACTGCCGTTCTCTCTCTTCTCTCCTGGCTACAGTTTGCTTCCTCAGGGCTTTTTACTATCTGGCTCCTTTGGTTTCTGATCTAGTGGCCTTTCTCAGTTCCCGTATCAACAGCTTTAGTTGTACACCCCTCCTGCCTTTGAGGTGAGATTGAGCCCCGCATCCTATTCCACCCCCCCACCCCACCCCCGCGCGCTGCCATCGCCGTGCTGCCCTGCTGCCTCCTCTCATGGCCCACCGTGTTCTGTGTGCCGGAGCCCGGCGTCATTCTGTGCAGTGTGGCATGCCCTTGAGCCCAGCCTTCCTCCTCCTATCACTGTCGTGTCCAGTGAGCTCCTCGGCCGCACAAAGCCCAGCACTGACAAGCTGACCCTGGTTTCTTGGTGCTCCCATAAGTGGCTGTTCTGCCCACTGAAGGAAATAGCAGGCGTGGCTCTAAGATGGGGTTACCTTGGTAGATCTGATTGCTTGAAGTTTAAAAATGCCGTTTGCAATGTGCCAGAAAAAACACTGGCAGCTTTTTCTGAAGGGCCCGTTAGCAGTCCCATGTATTTGACATAGATTTGGCCCAGTGTGGTGGCTCATGCCTGTAATCCCAGTGTTTAGGAGGCTGAGGTGGGAGGGTCCCTTGAGGCCAGGTTCGGGACCAACCTGGGCAACATAGTGAGACCCCATCTCTACCAATAAAAAGTAAAAAAAAAAAAAAAAAAAATTAGCTGGATGTGGTGGCACATGCATGTAGTCACAGCTACTTGGCAGGCTGAGGCAGGAGGACTGCTTGAGCCCAGAAGTTTAAGGTTATGGTGAACTATGATGGCACCACTGCACTCCGGCCTGGGCTATAGAGCAAGACCCTGTCTCAAAAAAACAAAACAAACAACACAGATTTTACTGAGCACATCCTAAGTGCAGAGCACTGTGCTAAGGGCTCTACACTGGGTCCTTGGAAGTAGGACCGCTATCAGCAAATACCTGGCACAGTGTCAGCTCCAAGAGGCAAGTGGACCAGGGGGATGGGAGGGAAGGGAGGAAGACACGTGGGAGGAGTGCCATAAATGAGTTGAGTCTGAAGGACAAGGATGGGAGGGGAGGAAGGCGGGAAAGCAGGACCTGAGCCGGGGAGTTGAGAGACCCACACTCACTGCCACCTAGTGACAGGGCAGGAAGCCCCTTTGTTTCATGCTGAAATCTGCAAAGACATTGAAATGACACCGGTGAGTAAGACAGAAGAGGGAGGTGCTGGGCAAACTGGTTAGGCCGAGGGGGCTGTGACTGCTCAGAACCGCAGAGGGGGTCCGCTCCAGCTGCAGGGAGCACCACCCTGGATGCAAGCCTCACCTGTCCTGTGCTTGGACATGAGTGTCTGACCTGCTGTGAGGTTTAGCCAGAAAGGCTCAGGGTCTTTTTACCAGGACATCCCAGAGTCCACCAAACTTGAGCAGACGCTTATGTTTACTATGATGCCAATTACGCAGGCTCTTGGGCTTCTGAGCCAGTAGTTTTCAAACTTTGGTAGTGGCAGCTCCCTTTTGTGAAACGGAATCTTGCACGGAGTCAGAACCTAGCAACTAGACTGGAAGGAGTAGCGCTGCGCTGTCCAGAAGCTCCTCTGTGGAGGCAGGCTGCTGCTCTGTCAGGTGGGGCAGGGTGGGGGTGGGGCGTTTTCCAGACTACTTGGACAACTTGGAGGCGGAAGGTTCTGCCCCGTGCGGCAGCAAAAAGAAACATGCCCTAGTTTGTGCAGGGCAGCCCCTGAAGTGAGGCGTGACCTCTGCCACAGGTAGGAGCCTCACTGGCAGGGGCGAGGGCAGCACCCAGAGCACGTATCCTTGCCATCCGGGGCTGCCAGTAGTGTCCATCAGCAGTAGCTCGGGCTAGAGACAAATGGAAGGGAAGAAAGGGCAGGAGAAACTGGAGAGCTGGGCCTGCGGGGGCGGGGTGGCAGACCAAGCCAGAGGCACCAGCCAGCCCGGGGGGATGCCAGAGACAGGCCGAGTGCTGTGTGGGCATCACGCTGTTATCTAGGCCTGTAGGGACTGACCGTCTGGGGGTCAGCCGAGAGTGCTGGGGGTCCGGCAGGGATAGCATTGGTAAGGCGAAGCTGGCCCAAGGAGGCTGGAGGCACCATGTGGCTCCTGTGTATGTCGAGCGTCATGCCCAGGCTCACAACTTTCTTGGTTGGGACCATCGCGGCTGCAGCTACTCACTCATCTCATCTCTCATCCTCATCTCTGTCCGGCCGTCTGGCATTGCCACTCCCTGTCTGCCCCCAGGGCCAGGTCAGGGCAGCTCCTCAGCCCCGGCCACTCTCCCCTCCCCTCTGCAGGATGACATGCACAGGGTCATTGACCGGCAGCTGATGGACACGCACCTGAAGGAACAGAGCCGGCCTATTGCTGCTTTCTCCCGGGGCCACGGCGCCGGGCGGGGGGATGAGCCCAGCACAACTGAAGGCAAACGGCTCTTCTCGTTCTTCAGGAAAATTTAGGTTGGGAGGAGCCGGGCCACCGAGGCTGGGTGCCATGGAGGCAGCTGAAAAGGTGGCGTGGGTAAGGGCCTCCCCTAGGGCTGGGCAGCTGCACTGTCACCCGTACTAGAACCCAGTGGGTCTGGGAAGGCCTGCTCCCTTTTGTCGCTGGGGATGGAGACCTAGAGGGTGGCCTGCCTTGGCCTCTGAAGGCCGCCCTTGCCCCACCCCTGGCCACGCTGACGCCTGGGCTCCCTTAGGATCCCATCACTGAGCAGGCTTCGGCCACCTCCCAGAGGGCCCTTGGTTGGGCTCTGCGGCTCAGACCCAACGGCTCTCAGCCCATCCACAGGCACTGCTGCCTCCTAGGCCTCAGAAAACAGGGAAGGGAGACATGGAGGCCCTTCTTTGCATGCTGTCCTTGGGGCAGCAGACCCAGGCCTAAGCCTCCATCCTTCCCCAGCCCCTGACCCAGGGAGGAGGGGCAGGTGGCAGCCCCTCCCCCACATGCATGCACCTCCGCAGGCAGGAGGCCGAGCCTGTGGCCACGGGTCCTAAGAGCGGGGCTCACCCAAGCTCAGCTGAGGCCATCCCCTGAGCCCTGAGAGGAAGAAGGCCCTGTCCCCTGGCCACCACTGCTTCTCTCCCAGCCTTCTCCAGTGCAGTCTTCGCCCCATCGCAGGCCTGAGCCAGCGTGTTCTCACTGGTCCTCTGCAGGCTTTAGTCATCCAGCCCCTTCCCCTTCACAGGGCCAGGGCAGGGATGGGTCTCCTCCTCCCATAGCCCCCAACTTCTTGGCCCAGCCAAGCCAGCCCAGGCCCCAGAATGGCGCCAAAGGGGTCTGTGGCCAGCCACCCCTGCCTTGAGGGCAGCACCTGCACCACAGGGTAGAGGGGAGGAGGAGGCTGCCGGGGCCTCCAGATACTGCCTGCCAGCCTGCAGAAGCCTGCACCTGCTGCAGCTGCCCCTTCCTTGGCAGCCGCCCACCTTCTCCACCAAGGCTCCGACTCAGAGGCTCCATGCCGGGTCGGCCCTCAGCTGCTCACAACTGACTCAGTCTCCCCCCCCCATGGGAAAAGCACAGCAGGGATGAGCGGAAAGAATGTACCTATAGATATGTACATACCACAGTGCTGTAATTTTGTATGTAGCAATCATGTAAATACATGTATGGATTTTATAATATACATATATAAATCTATAAAGGCATATTTTTAGAAAAACAGCGCACCACTGCTTCTTTTGAAAATAGTATAAGAATAAAATGAATTTCTACAGAGCTTCTTGCCTCAAGTCTCTGGGCATTTGGTGGGGTTCTTTAGTCTGAATGCAGCTGACATGTCAGGCTGCATGCTGGAGATAGCAGTACTGGTTCCCTGTACCTAGGAGGTCACCCCAGATGCTGATACCCAGTCGATGGATTTGGCTGGGAAGAGGCACTGCTGGAGGGTGCCAGCATCCTGCCCTGCGCCCCTCCCATCAGGCACTGGCTCTCCACCAGTGCTGCAGGATGCCGTCTGCAAGGCAGGCCTGCCAGCACTGCTTCCCAAGCCAAGCAGGGCCCTCGAGTTTGGCAGAAACTTTGAGCCAGAAAGAAGCCACTCCAGGCAAAAGCTTCCATTGCATCCTTCCAGGCGTGTGGAGAATAAACATGGAGCCTCTCCTGGCATCTGACCACATGTGCGCCCTGCCAGTGCATCCACCAGAGGGGAGACTCAACCCTGGACCAACCGTTCGTGGAGAAGATGGACTTGGCTTCTGGAAGTCCCAAGGCCTTGGCAGGCACCTGTGCAAGACTTAGGCCAAAGAGCTGAACACAATGGGTGGGAAGAAGCCAGGCCCACCCAGAGCACAGCTTGGAGGGAGAGCAAACAAACCCTGGAAGAGAATTTGGCAGCTTGAACCTTTATTTTTAGTATTTTTTTTAAAAAGCATAATTAGAAATTTTCAATACAGAAATAATCCTAGCAAACCATTTAAAAGTTTTGTTTGACAGAAATTTCACATCAGGTCCACTAGCACATCGGTCCAGCCCTGAGTCCCCCACCCCCACCCCACAAACCCCCATTCATGCGTGTAACACTCAGCGGGACAGGCAGTCACCTACCAAGATCAGCCCACCACCTGAATCTGGACGTCCGGCTGCCAGAAGCCACAGGAACCGCTAGCCTGGGCTGGAAGTTCCCAGGACCCCTCTCATTGCTTGACTCCCAAGCATGCTCTCACTGGCTTCTGTATGCCCCCCACCCACCGGCACAGGAGCCCCAAGCACCACGTGCCCACAAGGCCTGTGGTCAGCCAGGAGTCACGAGGACAGAGACCCTGCTACAGCTCCTAGGAGGTTCCCCAGGCCAGACAGGGCTGCCTGCTGCACCCACCTCCCCAGGCTCACAGAATTTCCCTGCCCATCCCATCCTGTGGCTCCAAAGTGAAGGCCTGTCACACAGAACCATCGGCTTTTGGCAGTTTGGGCAAGTGGAGAGACAGGTGAGAAGAAACCCCCAGTTTTTATTGATTAAAAACCTATCCACAGTGTTAATATGGAAAATCTCAATGTGATCTCTGACGTGATTGTCCAAACAGGTCTTTGCCTGGAAATCATCTAGGAAAGGAAATCTAATAAAACACATCATGGTGCAGAAATAAATTCTTCCCAAGTTACTTGATTCTTGTAGAGGAAAGAGGAATGAAGTATCCAGGTTGAGGGCGGACAGGGGGAGTAATCAAGTGCAGATGACCCTGGTTTTTCCTCCAGAGACTGGGGTGGGTCCAACCCAGCTGTCCTAGCCCCCCAGTCATTCCTTCCTTCCTGCTACCTTTGTCTAACACAGCTGCCAGGGAGCCAAGGCTGTTTGGCATCCCAGCCTAAAGATGGCGTCCCACAGCCCAGCAGCCCTGGCCGCCACTCCCCATGTTCCAAGGTGCCTGGTGCTACACCATAGACTAGGACTCCAGCGGGAGGCCCCTTCTCTGTTCCCATCAAGAGACAGCCAAGAGCCAAGCCCCCACAATGACAGGAAATTGTTCACTTTGTCTAAAAACACTAGACCCAAAGTGGGCTGGCCTAGCCACAACTTTTGCTGCTGTGCCAATCAAACCTCAGTGAAAGAAAGTAATAGTGAGGAACTGAATTCATTTGATTTGGCTTTCATTTTCGATTAAAATAATGCTCCCACCGCCAACCCCTCTGTAAGCCCCATCTCTGCACAAATATACCCCTACTACCTTTCTGCTGGAACTGAAACATGTTGGTATAAATTAGAAGCTGTGGCTCCCCTGGGTTTGTAGCTTAGAGGCATCTAGAAGGCAGGACAAGAAATCTTGTGGCCCAAGGGCAGGGCTGACTGTCTCTGCGGAACCTCGGGGCAGGCCTGACAGAGGGCAGATCCTGCCTCCAGCCAGGGTTCCTCGGTGCCCACAACAGCTGTGGGGCATGAGAATGGGGAGGGAAGGAAGCTGGCACAGGCCCCGGAGAGGGGTGAGACCCTGCAGGCCGGGGACAGAGAAGTCGACAGCCTGGAAGAGAGAATGAGCAACATGGAGCCCACCCCACCAGCCCCGGCTGGCCAGAGACGTGGCTAGAACATGACGCTGTCTCCTCAAGAAGCTGCTGGCAGTAAGACGGGATGGGGAAGGGAGGAGGAGGGTCCGTTGCAGCAGTTGGCATCATTAAGGAGGCAAAAGCCAGAGCAGGACGAGGTGTGTGGCTGGTTAAAGCAATATACACTATGTACAAACTGGTTAATCAGTCCGCTCTGCTGGCAGCATCCTCGCCAGGTCCAGGTGTCTTGGCCAGGGGGGAGGGGCACCAGTAGGGAGGGGCAGGCTTGTCCAACACCTTCTTGGCACTCGAGGGGGAGGGGAGGAAGTGCCGATGGCGCCTCCCGATACAAAAACGTGGAGAGAATTCTTTAAATAACGGCACGAAACAGAGGCTGTCCCCCGAGGAGCCCCCCGCGGGCCTCGGGCTGGGGGAGGGACCGCAGTGCAGTCTCTGCAGTGGACTGAGGGCATTAGCAGCAGCGTTTCTTTCGTTTACTGTTCTTCGTGAGCTTCACCACATCGTTCTGTTGTTGCTGCTGCTGTTTCGCCAAGTTGTCTTTCTTTGCTCGGAGAACCAGCTCTGTGATGCAGTTGAACATCTGTGGAGATGAGAGAGCTAGGGTAGGCTTCAGACCTCGAAAGGAGGCCCCTGCTGGCCTGTACGGTCACTTCCCCACCTCCTCCAGCCTAGCTCTCTACTGCTTGTGAATTTTTTTGTATGTATGTCCTCAAAACCTATCCTAGAAGAGGTGGTGAATTATTTTATACAAAGGTCAAAAAGGAACAAGGTTGCTATTTGGGAGGCTGGGCGGGGAGAAGTGCTTGAGCCCAAGCCTTTGAGGTTGCAGTGAGCTAGGATCCCGCCTATGAATAGTAACTGGCACTCCAGCCTGGGCAACAACAGTGAGAATCTAGTTCTTTAAAAAAAAAAGGAACAACATCAGACCCATGAGCTGTGTGGACTTGAGGAACTCAGTCTCAAGGATTTTCCAGTCTTCTTTTTATAGAGAGAGAGAACCCCTTTCCTTCAGCTGGAATCTTGTAACAAGACAGATACAGTTGGCCATGCTCTGCTCACAGGCAGAGGGGACCCAGAGCCTACCTCCTCCGTGCCACCTCACTGCACACAAGGCCCAAGGGTCCTGCCTGGAAGCTTTCCCAGACCACCGACATCCTTCCATGCCAGGATCCAGTGGGATCCCATCTACTGCCCACAGTGCTCTCCTCCACTTTGCCTGGGTAACTGTCACCGTGGTGGCACGTACAGCAGGCATAAAAAAGCGGAGTCAACATCTAAGAGCATGTACTGTGTGCCACGCACTCAGCGTGACTGTCTTCACTCAGTCCTCACCAATGGGAAGGCAGGCGCCCTCCCTCCTGAGTCTACAGATGAAGGAAGCCCAGAGGTCAGTTCACTGCCCAAGATCATGCCAGCCTCACCCACAGGCCACCAGGGGCACAGGTCAGGATTGGGATACTAGCCTGACTCATCGAGGAGCCTATGCTCCCTACTACTGTGCTGGAGGTCCCCGAAGCTATGGGGACCTCCAGCTCCCCTTGGGACTCTGGACTCCACAGAGCCCAAGGCAGGACTCCCCTGAGGCCGGTGAGTGGACCCAGGCTGGGCCTGTGGAATCACAACTGCTTTCTGCAGGCACAACGGAAGTGAAAGGGAAGCTGCCCTGGGTTGGAGGCTCAGCCTGCAGGAGCTGAACATCCCAGGAGCCTCTGAGGGGCTTGCAAGTGGGTGCCTACCCCTGAGCTCTGGAGGCCACTGGAAAGCAACCTGGTCTCTGCAGGGAGGCCAAGGCCCCTAAGAAAGCCAGAGCAGGAAGAGGTGACAGTGGTGGGACCAGGAGAGGGCCAACAAGGCAGGGGACTGGAGTAGAAACCGAGCATAGCTTTGGTGTGAAACAGATTTGACACAGCCTCTTACTAACTGGGTGATAATCCTTAAGTTACTTAAATAAATACTTGGAATCTCAGTTTCCCTATTTGAAATGTGGGAGTAATTATATCTACTTCAGAGGACTGCTGAGATATGAGCTAAGACCTTTAAAGGGCCTGGCACACAGTAGGCACTCAATAAATGGTAGTTACTATGATGTTTTCTACTGGTCACTGGTACGCTGAACAGGCTGGGGTGCGGCGAGGAGGGCTACAGGGGTGAAGCAGAGGCAGGCAGCCACACTGTCCTGGATGTCCAAGCAGCTTCCACGTTTTTCAGCCACCAGCATGGATGAACCAGGGTAGCAGGAAGGCAGGTGCCCACTGCCCCAGTGGCCCTTCAGCTGGGCCTTACCTCTTCCACATTGACATTCTCCTTGGCGCTGGTCTCAAACAACTGGATCCCCATCTGCCCAGCGAATTTGTAGGCATCTTCCGTCTCCACCACCTTCCGCTCAGGGTCGTCATTCTTGTTCCCCACTTCAAGGCAAAGCAGAGTCAGCCCAGTCCCAGAGGACACTTCCAGCCACCTCCATCTCATCATTCCCCACCCCTCTGAGTCCGGCCTCACCTAATATTCGGCACACATCATCACAGTTCTGGTTGATTTCGTGAAGCCACCGCTTGACGTTGACAAAAGACTCGGCACTAGTGACGTCGTACACCACGATGACCCCATGGGTCCCCCGGTAGTACCTGTAAGGTCAAGGTGTGCATCAGAGCTTCAGCCCCAATAAGAGCAGCCCCTTCGCTAGGACCCACCTGCCCACACCAGGATGACAGCCAGGAGATGGTGAGGGGCGGCCCCCGAGTCTGGGCTCCCATCCAGCCTTGGTGGGTATGCCCGCGCTGGGCCTGGCCAGCAGGAAAGCTGCTTCTGCAACACCAGCTCCTCACACTTGTACCAGGGTACCAGGGCAGGAGGTGGGACTGCCCTGAGGTAGCAGACCAGGTCTGAGGAGTCACCCAGGTTGTTGAGAGTCTGCTGATAGCTTGACACGTCTTTGAAATTGTTTTATCTTACAAATTCAGGCAATTTTTGTATTTGTCATCATTCAAAATAAGTTCTGAAGTCACACCATTCACGAAGCCCTGGCAAAGTTTACATCCCCTCCCGAGGCAGGTGGGGATGAGATACTCTGGCTCCTCCATGCTGATGGCAGAAAGGGCGTGAACACCACATGGCATCCAAGGATGGCTGGGAAGAGGGAGTCTGGCAAAGCCACATCCAAACATGCAGACCTCAGGGCCAGCTAGAAGGTCTGGAAGGAAGGGAGATGTCAATCGTTCCTCTCCAAGCCCCATGTCCCCATTCATCCTGACAATTCAGGACAGAGGGAGGACATCAGCCCTGGGAAGAAGAGAAGGACCGGAGCCTGTGCCTCCCCAAGAGCCTTTGCAGAGTCAGAGGCCAAGCAGCAGCCCAGACCCACACTATACAATCAGCCAGAGCTGTCCCCTGGCACCATCTTCCCAAAGTTGCAGGGATCCTCCATCTCCAGGGGCTCCTCAGGACACTACACGTGCAAGCCACAAGTAGATAGGTGCTTCCTCCCAACCTGGCTGCTACCAGCCCCAGCCCAAGGCTTATGCAGACAGCAGCTCTCCCCCTGCCCCAGTTCGGAGGCAGCATGAGGCCCTGAAGGCTGAGCGACGATGGAGTGGCCAGGCGAGCGGCTGCAGCTGCACTCCTGTCCACCTGGGCATGGGCTCTCTGGCCAACACTTCACATTTAAGGCCCAATCTGAGGACAAAGACCAACCCTCTCCATCTCTGAAAGGCTGTGGACCTTGGGAAGGTCAACTCACCCTGTCTCAACTTCTTTAACTATTAAAACAGGCACACGACTACTTAACTTGGGGTGGCCATGAGGAATAAAGGAGATAACAGATGTTACCCCAAGGACTTGGGAGCAGTAAACAGTCAACACTGAGTGCTCTTTATTGTCATTATTAATGTGCCTTTAAGGACAATCTGGAGTCCCAGACAGAGGTGGAAGAAAACCGAGAGGCAGACAGGTGGGGCATCCCTGCAAGTGCTTTTCCTGAGTGGCCTGCAAGGCTGTGAAGCAAGAGAGGCCCAGCAGGGTCAAGCCCAGGCTGCCCCTGCCCCATCTCTCCTCTTAGGTGCTTCATGTGGCCCACAGCCTTGCTTTCAGGGTGGCTTACTCCTCCTCGGCTCTGGGGGAGCCATGAGAGTCAAGCTGCCTTGGCCCTGGGCCCAAGAACCAGCTCTGGCCTTCGCGGCAGCTCTCCAGCACCTGCTGCTGCGAGCGCCAGCCCAGCACACGGCACAGCTTGGCAGACGCCTTCCGGAGTGTGTGTGTGAGCTGCACTGGAACCACAGGAACAGGCGGCTGTCCCCTGCCACCAAAAGAAGTGCAGATCATTACAGATGCCAAGAAATGCCTATAGCCATGGCCCCAACACAAAGCCCCCCTGCTGCTCCTTGAAAACTTCTGCCTTCTCTGGGGCACAGGAAAGGGGCTTTATCTGAGAGCAGAGAACCAGTCTGGGGATGAAGTCGGGGGCTCAGAACTCTGGCGAGGAGGGCCCTGGAGCTTCTGCTGCCTAGTCCCATAACCACCAGGAACCACTTCCACTCACCAGAACTCTGCTCTAGGCCAGACACAGTGCCTGAGGCTTTGCAGTCATCATCTTATCAAGCTTTGCAGCAACCTGCTCCAGCAGACATTTTACCAGTGAGGATGTGACACTGAGAGTGCAGTGAGTAGCTGGAACCTCCCATGCCCAGGTCTGACTCCCAGGTCCAGTGCCAGGGCCTCTCCTCCTCACTACTTCTTCCTCTTACCTCCACCCTCAGCCTCATCCTTCCCCAGTTGCACCTCAGGGCCTGCAAATGTCAGCTACTGAAAATGACAACTCGCGAGAGGTGACCACAGGGCTCTTTCTTGTCAGGCTAACAGGCTGCAGTTTCAGTTTCTCTTTTAATGATAAGGTCACACACTATTGCACCCTGAAAACTCCTGAACTCCCCCCAAGACGCCCTCCTTCTTCACTAACAGCCATGAAAAGGTGTTAAGTCTTTTGGGGGGCCCCTCAGTGGGTCCTGAAGGACCTCCTGCCTCATGAGGGGCAGAGCCAAGGACTCATGCAGGACAGGATGGCTAGGAGGGGTTAAGTTGGTGTCCGCAGGCCACCAGCATGCAGCTCACCCCTTTTTCAAGGGAAAAACCCCTATTGCCCTTAGGCAGCTGAGTGACTCCTCCAAGCCCTGAGGGGCACAGAATGAAGAAGCCAGTTCACCCTCCTTCTGCCTCACCCAGCCCTGAGAGGAGCTGACTTCACGGCAGCTGGCAAGGAGCTGTGCTCTTGCTGAAAGTGCCCCAGACACTCCAGGCTCCACTGCCCTGCCCAAAGTGCTCCTTGTGGCCAAAGGCCTAAGAGTCTCTGTGCCCTGAACACCCTGGCTGGTTTCAACCCACAGGAGGGTTGCAAAAGCAGGCGACCTGCCCCAGACCCATCCAGGCAGTGGAGGCAACAGGAGCAGGGCCAGGTGCGGGGTAAGGGCCAGTATTTTGGCTTCAGACAGCCTCAGCATCAACCCTGATTACCAAGCTATGCCACTTCATCCCTTCTGGGCCTGTTTTCTAAAATGGAGATAATTACAGGACTCTTTATCGGGATTAACTGAAATAAAGTCAGTAAAATCCTCAGCGAGAGGCCCAGCCCAGAGTAGGACATGGAAAGTCAGTGCCTAGGCCTGAAGACCCTGACTCGAGGTTTTGCCTCACCCAGGCCTGCAGTCTCCAGGCTGCCAGAGTGCTCAGTATCAATCCTGCCCCAAGGAGCTTGACCCCAGGTCCTCCACAGAGGACGTGGGGTCAGAGAACCCTTGCTCAGGTGGCTCACCAGCAAGTCGCCACAGAGCACCACACCTGGGCAACCCCAAGACTGCGAACTCCCAGGGCTTCAGGGAGTCGTGCTCACCATAGGGCTAATCCGGTGACAACAGCCTCCGCTTCAGGGCTCCACAAACTCGCTTGCCCAGGTGGCCCACACGGGCCCATCCCTCCTCCCTGCTTGGCCAAGAGTCCTGCTCTCCCCACACTCCCAGCCACCATGCTCACTCCTCACACTTGCCACCCTCTGGAGGGGCCCAGGGTGGGCAGCCAGCCAGGAGTGTGCCCTGCTTCCATGCCATAGAGAGGAAAAGGATCTCTGACCAGGAACTTCCTCGCCTTCCCGCATCCACTCAGAGGAGCTGCTGGGGCTGGGAGTCAGGGTGGGGGCAGCCAAGGAGGTGCCCACAGAGGCCAGACATCAGCCCAACTCTGCACATGCCACCATGTGGAGCTCAACCTCGACCACCTGGGTTCTTAGAGCACCCTCATCTGTAAAATGGGACAAGAACAGTACCAACTGCACAGAACTGCAAGAGAGTGCACCCAGACCACCCATACAACGCCTGAGGCAGAGCCCCTGGCATATTCAACATGAAAGCCAATCCCAAAGGCGGAGCCTCTCAGGAAACTAAAGCACAGAGTGTTTAGGCAGCTTGCCCAGCGACACACAGTACAATTCCAAATCTGTCAACCTTCAAACCCAGCTCTTTCCTAAAACCTGTCTCATTGACAACCCAGATCCAAGAGCCCCTCCGACGGACAACTGCTGCTCTGAGCTGGATCTGAATTTCCCTCCTGTTTGCAGCTAAAAATCATCAAGCCAGGCAACCTGCTGGGCATAGGGTTTCCCAGTAAACAGCTTTGGGAAAGTAGAAAAGGGTGCCCTGGTGGCCTCACATATACCAATTATTCCTCCCAAGAGACAGCCACCTCCAAGGAGTCAGGTAGGTGGCAGGAGCCTGCACAGACTGACCTCAGCTGTCACAACTGACACCTTCCAAGAGCAGCTGGCACTAAGCGCTTGATGGGCAGAGCACAACCACCTGGCAAGGCAAATACTACTGCTATTCTCATTTTTAGGTACAGGAGCTGCAGGGCAGAGGCTAAGCTAACTGTCTGAGGGGAGGTGCACGGTCACTGTCCTGCCAGACTCCAGGACCACGGACTCAGCATGGCCTGCCACACAGGACAGCAGTCACACCGTGTCCCAGTCTCCTCTAACATCTTCAGGAAGGACACGGCCAAACACCACCCACTGGTGGCCAGCAACAGGCTCACTTCCCAACAGCCTCGGGGACCCACCAGTGACACTGCTCCCATGACCAGGCACTGGTTGCTCCACTGTGTCCACGCATTAGTGGCCAGGGTTTCAAGCGAGAGTGGGACTGGGCTGACTCACGTGGAGGTGATAGTACGGAAGCGCTCCTGCCCTGCTGTGTCCCAGATCTGCAGTTTCACCTTCTCCCCGTTGATCTCCACGGTCCGGATCTTGAAATCCACCCCAATTGTGGTGATGTAGCTGCCTGCACACACATAGCACATTAACAAGGCCTGGCATGGTACCCCCGAGACCTGCAGGGCAAACCCTCGTGCTCTGCCATCCCACCCCATCCACTGCAAGTGCCCCACATGTTCTAGTTTCAGGGACACAGCCCTGAACAAGGAAGACAAAGTCCCACACCTACCCCAATAAAGCCCACAAGCAAGGTGAGGGTAACAAACAGTACTATGAAACAAATGAATTTTTTAAAAAAAACAATTTAAAAGAGGGAAAACATGCTACAAAGAAAACAAAACAGGGGATGGGGCTGGAAAGAGAGGGATGGGCTCTTTTAGAGTGGCCAGGGTGGGGACATGTCAGCTGTGATCTAAGATTAGTGGCCAACCTATGATGCATTCTGGGTTTTTCTTTTCTATTCAATTAAAAAAAATTTTCTTTTTTTTTTTTTTGAGTTGGAGTCTCACTCTGTCGCCCAGGCACACTCACGGCCACCCCAGCATCAATCTGTTGGTCTCTAGCAATCCTTCCGCCTCAGACTTCCAAGTAGCCAGAACTACAGGTGTGCACTACCACACCTGGCTAATTCTTTATTTATTATAGAGACAAGGTCTCGCCAAGTTACCCAGGCTGGTCTCAAACCCGCAGGCGCAGACAATCCACTCACCTCGACCTCCCAAAGTGCTGGGATTACAGGTTGAGCCACAAAGCCCGGTCAATTCAAAAAAATTTTAATGACCCTCAAACTAACTTCCTAACACACAAACAGGTCACGACTTGCAGTCTGAAAACCACTGCTCCAGGAAGAGGAGAAAGCAGCAAAAACAGCTATGGTCATGTGAGGTCAAACACACAATGGGAAGCAGGTAGAGGGCAGCCAAAGCCAGATCTCAGGCCTTTGTGCCATTTTGGAGAACACAGACTTTCTCTTGTACCTGATGGGGTGGCATTGAAGGTTTTTAATCGGGGGCATGAGCTGCATTTTAAATAGCTCTCTTGGGGCATCTGTGTGAAAGATGGATTTGAGGAGAATCTCTAGCTGATATCATCATCCAGTCCAGGCTTACAAAAGCCTGGACACAAGGAAAAGCACAGGTTCTCACCCTGTTTGGAGCTTACATACAACGCAGTGTGGGAGACATCACACACACACACACAAATGACTATGTGAAGTGGCAAGCATATAGGAAAGGTCAAGTTCAAGGTGGAATAAAGATCAAGGCAGGTTTTGGGGTGGAAGTCACGTTTGGGCAGAGCTTGAAAAAACTGGTAAGGTTTCAAAGGTTGAGATCAAGTGAGGGAAAGACATACCACACTGAGGCAACCAGCCGAGGCCAACACACAGCCAGAACACATTCAGAAGACAAGCCAGCTCCTGGTGCTCTTCCAGCCCTGGATATGCCAAGGAGTGCAGCCCAGCACCTGGCACAGTTAGGCTCTCAATAAACAGCCGATGGTTGAATAAATGAGTGAGCAAGCAAAAAAGCAAAAGAACCAACAGGTGGTATAGGAGAGTAAGTTGAAAAGGTGAACTAAAGACAGATAATGAAGACTAGTGGTTCTCAACCAGGAACGACTTTTGTCCCTCCAAAGCACACTCAGCAATATCTGGAGACATTTTTGGCTGTCATAGCTGAGGGAGGGAAAGTGCTGTTGGCATCTAGTGGGTGGAGCCCAGGGATGCTGCTCAATATTCCCCAACATGCAGGACAGTCCCACAACAAAGGACTGCAGGGCTCAGGGTGTCAACAATGCCAAAGTGAAGAAACCCTGTTGTAAACTGTGCTCAGATGAGAGGGAGCCACTGAGGTTTTTTGGTTTCTTTAGAGGTGGGGTCTCGTCCCGTCGCCCAGGCTGGAGTATACTGGTATGATCATAGCTCACTACAACCTAGAACTCCTGAGCTCCAGCAATCCTTCTGCCTCAGCCTCCCAAGTAGCTGGGACTACAAGTACATGCCACCACACCTGGTTAATATTTTTATATATATTTTTTTAGAGATAGGGTCTCGCTATACTAGCCTACACTAGCCTGGGACTCCTGGGCTCAAGCAATCCACCTGTCTTGGCCTTCCAGAGTTTACAAGTGTGAACCACTGCGCCTGGCCCCTCAGATTTTTAAAAAGAGGAAAGATCCTGCCAGAGATATGCATTAGCAAGATGAATTGAGCAGTCTGGTTCAGGGTGGGTAGGAGCTGTCATAATGTTTCTGGCTAGAACCGATGATGAACTGAGATATCAGTAGTAGAAATGGTAAAAAGGAGAGAGACGGCAAGAGAGAGCCCTCCAAGAGTTGAATGCTGATGGATGGGGACGTAGAGGGGCCTTAAGGAGGAAAAGGAACATTTTTCAGCATAATTAGAGACCTGTCCATTTGTTATCATTCTTGAACAGAAGATAATAGCCACAACACACTGCTAGTATTTATTGAGATTACTTAGTCCTAGGCACTGTGACACGCACTATCTCAGGTAATCCTACAACAACCCCATGTTGGAGGGACAGTTATGATTCTCACTCTACAGATGAGCTGAGCACTAGCTCAAGGTCACAGAGAGAAACCAACTCTTTGCAACACCACACGACCAGTGTGTTGCAGGGCCACTGTCAGGGAGAGAAGAGGACAAACCCACTCTTCCACCAAGAGAGGCATCATCATGTAATACTAAGTGCATTTCACCTTTCAACCACACCAGAAGGAATTCCCTACAAGAACATCACATTTCAGTCCTTAATCAAAGAGGCAAACCCAACCCAAAGCCTCTGTAATGAACCTGATATATTTAATAAATGAAAATACGCTCACAGCCTGGGCAAAATAGCAAGACCTTGTCTCTATAAAAAATCAAAAAAGGCTGGGCATGGTGTCTCAAGCCTATAATCCCAGCATTTTGAGAGGCCAAGGCGAGAGAATTGCCGAGGGGTTTGAGACCAGCCTGGGCAACTTGGTGAGACCTTGTGTCTACAATGTATCAAAAAAATTAGCCAGGCATGGTAGCACATGCCTGTAGTTCCGGCTACTTGGAAGGCTGAGGCGGAAGGATCGCCTGAGCTCAGCAAGTTGACACTGGGGTGGCCATGAGTGTTCCACTGCACTCTAGCCTGGGCAACACAGTAAGACCCTGACTCAAAAAAAAAATCAAAAAATTAGCCAGGTGTAGTGGCACGTGCCTGTAGTAGCTTCCCAGCTACTTGGAAGGCTGAGGCAGAAGGATTGCCTAAGCCCAGGAAATCAAGACTGCAGTGAGCCATGATCATGCCACTGCACTCCAGCCTGGGTGACAGAGTAAGACCCTGATTAAAAAAAAAGAAAAGAAAATATGTTCAACCTTACCATGTTCAGGGAAATACAAATTTAAACAAGTTAGACCTTTTTGCCTACAGCTTAGCAAAAATGAAGACAATGACTAAGATCTAGCATTGATCAGAGCTTTTTTTTTTTGAATTGAAGTCTTATTCTGTCGCCCAGGCTGGAGTGCAGTTTTGCACACTCAAGGCTACCACGGCCTCAACCTGCTGGGTTCAGACGATTCTTCCACCTCAGCCTTCCAAGTAACTGGAACTACAGGCGTGTGCCACCACACCCAGCTAATTTTTTGATTTATTGTAAGTCTCATCATGTTGCCCAGGCTGGCCTTGAACCCGTGGACTCAGGCAATCCTCTCATCTCCACCTCCCAAAGTGCTGGGATTACAGGCGTGAGCCACTGCACCCGGCTAGGGGCACTTTCAACTTTGTCAGTGTGAGTGTGAATTAAATTACTACAGCAGTGCCTATGAAAATTCTAAATACGCACACTCCCTGCAATGCAGTAATCCCACTTCTACAGAAACACTGTACAAGAATAAACATCCAATGTCTCCCAAGTAGAGAATCGAGTAAAAAAAAGAAACCAGAAAGCATACACAAAGCAAGAGCATTGTTAATAAATGGGGAGCATCCACGCACAGCACAGAAGTCTTCACAGTCACTCAAAAGAACCAGAAAAGTCTACATGTAGAGTTCAGAGGGAAGTTGGAAAGCTACACATCGGCCAAAGGCCACCAGGCAGCACAAAGGGCAGGTGAAGGGACAACTCTCATTTTTCACTTTGTGGATGCCTACCTGTTTGAAGTTTTATACAGGCATGTACAATCTTGTAATAGTTTTTTTTTTCTTTTTTTTTTTGAGTTGGAGTCTCACTCAGTCACCCAGACTAGAGTGCAGTGGCCGCTCCCGGCCTCCACAGCCTCGACTTGCTGGGCTCCGGCGATCCTTCCGCCTCAGCCTTCCAAGTAGCTGGAACCACAGGCGCACGCTACCACACCTGGCTAATTTTTTTATTTATTATAGAGATGAGGTCTCGCCAAGTTGCCCAGGCGGGTCTCGAACCTGCGGCTCAGGCAATTCACTCACCTCGACCTCCCAAAACGCGGGATTACAGGCTGAACCACCGGGCCTGGCCTTGTAATAGTTTTAAACTTTTTTTTTTTTTTTTGAGTAGGAGTATCATTCTGTCACTGAGGCTAGAAGGCAGTGGCACGATCACAGCTCACCACAGCCTTGACCTCATGGGCCCAGGCAATCCTTCCCAGAGTAGCTGGGATTACAGATGCATGACACCATGCCTGGCTTCTTTTGTTTGTAGAGATGAGGTCTCTTTATGTTGTCCAGGCTGGTCTTGAACTCCTGGGCTCAAGTAATCTTCTTTCCTCAGGAGTAAGACACCATACCTCGCCTTTAAACTTTTTTTTAACGTTGAGCACAAAAAAAGCCTGGGTGGGAAAAATGATGGGCCTGAAAAAAGGGTTGTTGTTTTTTTTTTAACATAGTGTATTAACAGACCACAGAGGCTTCTGAATGGAGCATCTTAAGGACCTAAGCCTCCCTCCATCTTCTTTCCTCCTCTGGCAACCAGAATGAAAAAGTTCTTGACATTAGGTAAAAGTAAGTGTCTTCTGGTGCCAGGGAAGAGATTTCAATAAAAACACCCCAGCAGCAGTGCAGGGGAAGACTCACCTGAGAAAGTGTTGTCTGCAAAACGTAACAGTAAACTGCTCTTGCCCACACCTGCAAGAGAGAAAATACCGTGATGAGGGGGCCAGTGGGTCCCCACCCTCCAGCCCCAGCCATTTTTCAGGGAGATAGTGCTTGAGTTTCAACTCTTATGCGGCTCAGTGGGAACCAGCTCTCTTCTCAGTGCTGTTTCTATCTCCTCCGCCAGCCACATTCACTGTCTCCCAAGTAGAGAATCAAGTAAAACAGAAGCAACCAGAAAGCACAAGGTATTTCCTCCACTCAATCCCTGACCTTCTCCTTTGTCCTCATGTAAGACAAACTCCCCCCAGATCCCCAGGGGGAGAGATGAGAAAGGGAGTCATGCCCAGGTCCTGTGCTGAAGGCCAGCTCAAAAGGAGATACTGGACGAAAGACAAGGGAGGAAGGTCAACCAATGAGACTGGCCCCCAAATGCACTTAAAACATGGTGCCTAGAAAATTGTGCACCATGGATGGTGCATCAGTTAGGAAGCAGCTTGAAGTGAGGAAATGTGGAGCTAGAGAGAACCCTTGGGATCATCAGAGCTATTTTGCAGGTGAGGAAACTGAGGTCTACACACTAGAACTGAAGTCTACTGTCTTTCCCAACTAATGTCCCCACCGGCTGGGCCAGTGGGGTGGAAGAGCCAGGCCAACAGTCCACGTGTGTTCAGACCACTGCACTCAACTGCAGCATCTCCTGGCTGCTTAGACCACGAAGAGGTGCATGCCTGCCTCCCCGTGACTTCAACAGTGGCTTCAGCCTGCCAAATGCCCCTGTCCTGCGTCCTCCTCCAACCCTCATCACCCCAGAGGCCAGCTGGGTCAACTGACCACAGAAGAAAGGAATTAATATGCATCGAGCTGTCTGTGCAGTGGGCACTTTGATGCTCCTATCATTATAACCACATCTCTTAAGATGAGTAAAACAGCGGGCGCGATGGCTCACATCTGTAATTCCAGCACTTTGGGAGGCCGAGATGGCCAGACTGCCTGAGCCCAGGAGTTCAAGACTAGCCCTGGGCAACATAGCGAAACTTCATCTCTACAAAAATAAAAAATTAAAAAATTAGCAGGATGTGGTGGCACACACCTGTAGTCCCAGCTACTCAGGAGGTTGAGGCAGAAGGATCACCTGAGCCCAGGAGGTCGAGGCTGCTGTGAGCCATTATCTTTGTGATCATGCCACTGCACTCCAGCCTGGGTGACAGAGTGAGACTCCCCAAAAAAAGATGAAGAAGCCAAGGCTCCGAGTTGGAGAGCTGGCCTAAAATGTCTCTGAGCTCCCAATCCAGGTCTGCCCCCTCCACAGCGCCTCCTCAGAGTTGGGGAGTCTTCTTGCATCTGGTTCAGCAAGGGGGAAAAAAAAAAGACCCCATGGTGGTTCCTACATCTTATTCCTGTTAGATTTTTCACAGAAATGCCATCAAAGCTATGAGGAAATCTTACACTAGGATCTATAAACCTCCTGAATCTTAAATGCAAACTTTGAGCATATGTGCCTATTTGTAGAAGCCCACAGCTACTTTTTTTTTTTAAGAGACAGGGTCTTGTTCTGTCACCCAGGTTGGAGTGCAATGGCACAATCATAGTTCACTGCAACCTTGACCCTGAGCTCAAGCAATTCTCCCACTTCAGCAGCAGGGACTACAGGTGTGGGCCACCAAGCTCAGTTAATTTTTTTTTTTTTTTGAGAGAGGGAATCTCCCTATGTTGCTCAGGCTGGTCTGAAACTTCTGACCTCAAGTGATCTTCTTCCTTGGCCTCCCAAAGTGCTGGGATTACAGGCATGAGCCACCATGCCCATCCCCCACAGCTTTTATTAGATTCTCAAATAGGGCTCTGCATCCACTCCCATCCCCCCAAGCAACCAGTTGCAAACCACTGTTGCAGTCTAAGTTACACAGTTGTATTTTTCTAAACCTAACCCCAAACATCCTCTCTGAGCAATCCTCTCTCAAGATCTTTTCTGAGGACTTCTCATGGTGAATGAGTTACCCGGGGATGCCCAGAAGAATTTCTTTCACTGAGTAAACTTGGGTCTTACTTTTCTAAATACAAGCCAAGGTAAGGCTCTCCTGAGCAGACATGTGCTGCTCAGTCTCGGGCCTGCAGCGCTTGTGCTCAAGAGCCACTTCCTCATCACTCAGCGGTGAGGCTTCCTGCTTAGCCCAAGGAGAGCCCAAGTCCTGGGCTGGGTCCCTCACAGGGCTCTGCCCAACGCCAACACCGCATTGGCCCTGCCAGCTCTTTTGCTTCCTCCTGAAGCTTTCTGGGTCCAGCTTACTCAGCTAAAAGCTTGTGTCTGGGTTGCTAGGCTATAGGTTCCTTTTGGATGGAACCCTTGCCTCATTCACCCAGCACATTCACAGTGCTGTAAGCTGGGCCCAGCACTTAGTAGGCACCAACAAAACACTGCTTTATATATTTACAACTGAACAAATGCCAATCTCACTGATGCTCTGCTAGTTAATCCTATCACTGCAGCATTAACAGGAGCCAAAGCAGTGGTCTTCAAACTTTCAAGGGGCAGCAGAATCCTTTTTTTAAATCAAATTTTAACCAAATCCGGCCCAGCATGATGTCTTACATCTGTAAGCCCAGCACTCTGGCCAAGGTGGGAAGATTGCTTGAGCCCAGGAGTTCGAGACCAGCCTGGGTAATACAGTGAGACCTTGTCTCTACAAAAAAAATGATCAAGAAATTAGCCAGGTGCGATGGCATGCACCTGTAATCCCAGCCACTTGGTAGGTTGAGGTGAAAGGATTGCCTGAGCCCAGGAAGTCAAGGCTGTGGTGAGCTGTGATTGTGCCCTGTACTCCAGCCTGGGTGACACAGTGACACAATGAGACCCTGACTTAAAAAGAAATTATCCAAACCCCATATGTCTAAAATAGATGTAGTGGGGGTGAGGGGTGATCTCTCTGCAATGACACAGCAGCATACCCTCCACTCACCACCACCCCCCCCACCCCACCCCTGCTCCTTGGAAGAGCAGTTAAAAGCCACTAGGCTGCAGAAAGACCACAACAGTCATCACATTATCTGCTCCTTTGGATCTGACACCAACCTCTGGCACTGCTCTCCTTTTGAGAGGAACAGAAACCCACTCTGAGAAATCCCATCTCTTGCATATGTCTGGAAGAGGCTTCCTTGAAAAAAACACGCTGCAACCATTTACCCACGGCCTTCACTATAGCCACAGCTGAAGCTTCCCAATGCCACATCCAGTGCAAGCCCAACCAATCCAGGCCAACATCCTTTGCCCTGCAAGGGGCACTCTTGGCAGCCAGGAAAACACACCACATCGTCACCGCACTCCCCAGGCTGCTGCGTCTGGTCCTCGTCATGCCAGCCACACACAAGTCTTCCCTTAGCCCTGCTCCTACCTGGGCTCCAGTTCCCTCATTCTGCTTCAGTTCCAGCCTCCTGAAGACCCTCAGACCTTCCAGTGAAGTGATCTCAATTTTAATCGTGCCTCACGATATAACCTCCACAAGTCAGGCTCCCCTCTGAGCCTCAGTTTTCTCATCTGTCCAGGGAAGTGCTTTAACTACATCTCGGAATAAGGTGGTTGGCCTGAGGAATGCAGATGAAATGCTGTTACAAATCAGAGCCATTGTCAGAAGGGCATAAGGAAAAGTGTAGAACCTCAGGCATAAAGAAGAGATGCAAAAGTCAAGGGAATACATTCCAGAAGCGCGTACAATGTGGCAGAGTGGGAAGAACTCCGGACTTATGAAGACAGAAACCAACATTCATTGAGGGCCTACTGTTTGCCAGCCTTGACACCAGCTGCTCTCACACATACTCGCACAGATGTGCATTAACTCCTGGCTTTGTTTCTGATGAACTGTGCGATTTGGGGCAAATCAGTCACCTCCTCTCAGCCTTAGTTTCCTTATTTGACCAACCCCATCGATAACGGGTAAGAATCAGATGAGAGAGTGCCTGTGAAATCATTCTGTACATCTTAAGGAGGCACACATACAAGGAGCCCAGTTCAGGGAGCATATGATGTCAGTCTCCTTGCTCACTGCCAAAGTTTAATTTGAACTTCCATGGTTTCCATCTTCCAGGCTCCTAAGAGTTCTGCTTTGAGTATCAGCTCACTGTCAGGAGAAATCAAAGAAAAACAGTACCTATCTTCTCTGCACAGTCTAGGCCTACATGACCGAACTAGGGCTGGACCACATAAGTCTACCACACCTGACTCTGGAATGAAAAATCAATACACCACACAAAATGTACAGTGAGAAGGCGGGTCAAACCCATCCCCTGGGTTTTACAAAGGAGAAAAACCAACAAGCTGCATCTCCTTGCTGAGTTTAGACTTGTTTGGATATCAACACACAGATCCAAGATGTCTTGCTGAGGAATAAAGACCCCTGACTACAGCAGGCTGACTGTAATTCCAAAAGGAGAAATAATCTTAGTGCCAGTCCCTCAGAACCAAGGCCAGAGCTGAAAGTCAATCCTGTAAAAGAAGAAGCCTCAAGACCCCAAGGAATGCCAAAGACATCGCCAGAGCAACACTCCACAGCTTGCCTGGTTTTCTCTCATTCAAACCACAACCAATCAGTCCTCCACTTTTCTAACTTCTTCCCCTACCAGTTACTCTTCCATCTCCCCGGCTAACCCCTAACTTTCCCCCTCACCTCTCCCTTCCTCCAGCAACCACGGAAACCTCAGTCATCCTTCACCTGATCCAAACCACCAACCACATCTCAACACAGCTTTCCAAATGGGACCCAAACCCAGCCAACTTCCCTGACCCAGCTATGACACTGCCACCAACACTTCTACATCCTGGGTCTCACCCCCGACTTGATTTGATCCCCTCTTCCCTTAATAATCCATGGGTACTCCCACCAACCTGGCCTCCGCCTCCAATCACATGGCCCCCGCCTCACACTCAGCTCAGATGTGGGCCATAAACTAAGCCTGCTCCCAGGTCTCCTTCCTGGACACCATATAATCCCAGCACCTCAGCTAGGCTCCCATAAACCTGCTGGGGATTGCCTCCCTGACCTCTTGGTCACCCCATAATTCTGCTCACCTGTCACATGCCAGACACCTCTAAAATCCTCCATCCTTTCCCAGAAACCAGTCTACCTTTTCTAAGAACATTTAACATTCATTCATTCGACGAATGTGTACTATGCCTTCACTGGGTGCCAGGCACTGTTCTAGGCACTGGAGTTAGAGTGGTGATCTGAATTAAGAGGCCTCAAGGTGTGCATATGTGGCCAAAGCACTTTTATAATTTTGGCTGGCCCATCCCCAGTTAACACCCTTCTGTACACAGCAGGGCAACAGCAAAGATTTACTGACTGCTCACTATGTGCCAGACACTGTTCCCAACACGGTGTGTGCAGTATCTCGCTGAATACTCACATCAACCTCATCTGGCAAATTCTACTGTTACTCTATTTTGCAGATAAGGAAACTGAACCAGGCAGAGATATAATAATAATTCAGCGGGCCCTATGCAAAGGCTTTACCTGTCTCACCTCACTTAAACCTCACACCAATCCCATGAGGCAGGTTCAGGGAACGTCCTCGTTTTACAGGGGAAGAAACTGAGGCTAACAAAGGACACTGATAATAACAATAGAGAACATTTACTTCGAGCTTACTTTACCCGTCGGGCGCTAAGCACTTTTCCTACTCTGTCTCATCGAATACTCACACCACCCAGCAAGCAAGTCCCCCCTGCTCAGACACGGGAACTAAGGCTCAGAAAGGTGAAGCAACTTGCCCAAGGTCACAGAGTGAAGAGACTGGCAGTTCCAGGACTCGAACCCGGGTCTCTCCAACTCCCGCGATCGCGCGACTTGACCAAGGTCACACGTGAGGCAGGGGCAGGCGCGGAGCGTGGACCCGGCGCGCCCGT